TTGCCCCCAACAACAATCCAGGTCCTCATCCTTCCACCTCGGAAGGATGGAAGGCTGAGTCAACCCTGAGCCAGTGAGATTTGAACAGCCGAACTGCAGAACTGCAGTCAGCTGAAGTAGCCTGCAGTGCTGCATTTAACCACTGCGCCACCTCGGCTCTACATATATATGTATGTATGTATGTATGTATGTATTCATGCATGTATTGTGTCACATGCCATATGTGTTGCATTTGTGCTGATAAATAAATATATATATATATATATATTTATGTATACAGTGGTATTTATCATTGACTTTAAAATTCCTTCTTCCATTCTTTAATTACATTTCTATATATGTGCTACCACTTTAAACCCTAGTTATTTTTATACCGGGTAGATTAAATTATTGGCATAGTGGTGGCTTTAATTTTAAGATTGTAAATTTTGCTAGTCAATGACTTAAATAAAAAATTAGCACTAAATGAGCCTGCTTAGCATTGCTGTTTTCATAAGCTAATCCCTTTAATGTGTTACTTTTTCTTTCTCTACCAGATAACATGTTTCAGTGAGCTGGAAATTTTAATTCATCCAGATGGAATCCTTCCTGTGATAGCTTTTCTGAAAGAGCACACAAATGCCCAGTTCAGAAACATAGTTGACCTGACAGCAGTCGATATTCCAAGTCGGCAATACCGTTTCGAAGTAAGATCTACATTTCAATATGTAGTGCCTGTAGAATTCTATGATACGTTTAACACAAAGGCTACTAAGGTTAAAGGGTTAGGGTTAGCTACTGGTTGTATAGCTTGTCTGTTCAGAAAGTATGAAAGTATTCTTCTTGCATATTCACATACTTAAGATCCACCTAGCTTCATGTTTCCTGACTTCCAGGTGTCCTATCAGGAAGTTTTGGGACAAAGGTGTTTTCTTCATCTTCTGTAGATGGAAATTGTTACCATTGCAGAAATACTTCTCATATTATGCACTACATGATGTAAAAAAAAACCCCACCATTTATTTTGTAAAATTTACAAGAAAGTTCCTTGGTTGCTTAAAAATTTGCTTAAAAAAACAGTGATGGCTGTTTCTCCCTCCCCACCAGGAGGTATTATATAAAACTTCATTTGACTATAGCTGGGGAAAAAAGCATTAGCTTCTCTGTAATGATTTGCTTGTGTAAGTTTTCTTAAATGAATATGACAGCCATTTAGTGCAAGGCAGTGCATGAGATTCAAGGATACAAGGAGAAGATTCAACGGTGCATGAGGTGTGTGAGGGAGGTGCATGAGTGTATGCAAGTGAGTAAAGTGAGTGTTGGGGAAGGTGCATGAGGGTGGTGCGTGGAAGGTATGGTGAAGCTCGGGGAAAGTGCACAAGCCTCGTAAGGAAGGTGCAGTTCACCTAATGTGTGTGTGTGCACTGTGGAAATTAAATCTTCACTGAATCCATTCAAAACAACCATGCCTGCTGGGCAATGTTTTGATAGTCTTCATCTGCTCTGCTCATTCTTTCAGTGTTTTGAGAATGCTGTGTACCTTAGCCTGAATAAGAAGAAGGCTGATTGGCATCCTCTTTTGTATCTGATTTTTGATTCAAAATATAACATGGGCATTTTTTGCTGTCTTATAACTGGTCCTGGATTCTGGTGATTTTTTCATCACCTTTCTGATCTTTTTCCTACCCATCAAAACTGTGAAGATGGTGGAATAGGCCAGTCCTTCTTGTACTAGAATATTCACATTCTTTCGGGGATCATACGCTTTGATGATCTTCACCTTCAGATCAAATCATTTAAGTTTCCATTGCTTCTTCTTCAGCTGAACTGGACCATTTTCTCTTTTCCTTTGAAAAGATTGCAAGCGAAAATAAGTGTTAAGAGCCCATTGCAAAATACTCTAGGTAAAGAGAAAGAGAGCTGAAGATCCTTAAACAATAATTAACTGGTTCACAACAATTTATCTTCTGTGTTAGAATTTGGGGAGGCAATAGTGTTTTCCTTGCCTGCTAAAAACTTCATTTCCTAGATATAGCATATGAGGGATCACTACTAGCAGACTATTTTAAATATTCTGCTAGCATATTTTAAATTTGTTTATTTCTTATATTAAATATTTGGTTGTATAGCCTGCTGTTTTTAAGTGGCTCCCCCCTTATGGTCAGTTTGTTTACATTATAGCCTATGCTTATGCAACCTATTTTTTTTACTATTGGAGAGAGCAAAAAACTGTGATGGCTGGAGTTTACATACAATCCATTGTGAGGAAAAACAAGGTTTCATGGAAAGGGATAGAAAGTCTTAAAAATAGTTTACAGAGTTGAAGATCAGAAGTTTAGAGAACAGACAGACAATAACTCATATAGCAATATTCCTTCACTGGTTATTTTATCCTCTTACTATGGAGATGATCTCTGTCACACTCAAAAGCACTCAAAAATATATAATCCTCCCCTTCCAGCAGAAACAACAAAAAATAAGTTGGAGGAAGGTAGTTACACTGAGAAAGGAAAAGCAAAGAGGAAACAGAGAGAGAAGAAAGAAGGAAGGAAAGAAAGAAAAAGAAAGAAAGAGAAAGAAAGAAAGAAAGAATTGACATATGTACTTGTACCAAAGAAGGGAGAGGCAAATGAAGGAAAATTTCCAAATACAAATTTGCTACATAAACAAGGTTGCTGAATAAATACTGGTAGGTTTCAAAAAGGACAGCAGGACATGCAGTCAGATTGCTAATAAAAGATGGAGCATGGAGAGAATAAGAAATGAAAGGAGAAGAAGAGGTATTTGTTTAGATGACTACAACAAAGTCTTTGTGTAGAATGTAGATCAGGGATGTCAAACTTAGGGGCCGGATCCAGCCAGCAGGATGCTTATATCTGGCCCATGGGGCCACCCTTGAAACAGCAAAGGACCCGTGAGTGGCCCTCCAGAGATCTGTTTTCACTGGCAGAGTGTTGCCTGAAGTCATCACAGCTGAAAACGGAGCTCGGGAGTCTGTTTTCTCTAGCAGAGCGCTTGGGCCGCCAAAGGCACCCCCAATACAAGTGATGTCGAACTGGCCACACACGCACACAGACCCACACCCGAGGTCAAACAATCCTATGCAGCCCTCGATGAAATTGAGTTTGACACCACTGATGTAGATCATGCCACAATGTGGAATATATTAAGCTTAGTAGTTGTCAGAACCCCCAATATTTATAATTAGAATTCAATTTCTTATTATAAGGAAACAAAATAGTTCAGAACAGGAAAGAGGATGAGCAAGAATGTATATTGTTTCTATAACTTTTAATTTATGTAGTGAATATAAGAGTGACAGGGTCGAAAGAGATGATGGCTGCAATTAAAATTACATTTGAAAATATTAACAGTTGGAAATATATGCAATTGACATCACTTTTTTAGCTAAATAAATCTTAGATTATTATGAAAGTAAAAAGTAAAAAATGCAAAGTGAATGTTAAGTATTAAAACAACAAGGGTAAAGTCTGGCATTATCAAGATGAGCGGAGATCTGTGAAACCATGTTTCTTCTACAGTATCAGAGGATTTTTTCAGTTAAAGTTAAAAAAAATAAGCCAATAAAACACTTATATCAGAGAAAGTAAGATCTGTCTTCCATCCTATTTTGGATGTGGGTGTATCAAATTGTTACTGTCAAAGTAGAAGTTAGTGAAACAAGTACTCTTGATTCTCAGCCAAATAAAGTTGCTTGTAAACAAAGATTAGATGACAGTTTGCTTCAGAATCAAGAAAAGATCAGCCAAGGTTGATTTGCTCGCAGAGGAATCAGGGCAGAATTTGATCCTTGTGTTTCCACGTGTGCATGCGAATGGATATGTTTGTCTGTTACTCCATGGGTGTGTGTATAGCTATCTAGGGTTTCCTATATACTTCTAGATTCAAACGTTTTTGATCTTATCTTTTATGAGTTTTCTGTGTGAACTAAAGCCTGGACCTTTGTGAAGCCTTACTCCAGGTTTGGAGGATAATTTAAGACAACTCATAATGATTTTACAGGTGGAGCACTGTTCAATTTAAGAGTGTCTGTTAAATGTCTCTGAAAAATAATTTAATATTGATCTGCACTTGACTTATTTGCACAGATATTATCCCTGTTGAGATTTATCCCTTTACCCTTGGCCTCCCCCCCCCGCACCTTGTCATTCCAATTTTGATTTTGTTGATTCATGAGTTTGCTGAGCAAGCATCTTTTAATCCATCATTTCAATTCTTTGTCATAGATTGTCTACAATTTCTTATCTCTACACTATAATTCCCGAATTCGTGTGAAAACATATACTGATGAATTGACACCGATTGACTCTATAACACCATTGTTTGAAGGGGCAAATTGGTATGAAAGAGAGGTAAGCATTAGGGATGATAATCCTGGGAATCTAGTAAGGAATTGTCTTCTTTCCCATTGCCGTTTATTAACACATTTGAAAATATTCATTCATTCATTTATTCAAGAAAATTTATATTGTTGCCCAACTCATTCACAGGAACTTTGAACAGCTTACAGTAGTTGAGCTTCTGATACCAACATTGGTTAAAGTCCCAATAGTGCTGGCATTATGACTTCGGTGATATTATTCCTTATTTGCAGGTCAGCCATTCTGACACTTGCAGTCTAGATTACTGGTAAATCTTTTAGAAAGTGATAAATGTTCATTCCTTCCTTTTTTCCCCACACATGCTAATATTCTTATTTCAAGGAATGTACTAGTGCTTCTGTACTGTGGAATACCTTCTCAATGATGCTGATTATATATTAGAAATGCAATCCAAAATCTACATATAAATACAGAGGAGAATTTTGGTTGTCCAAATCGTTTTTCTGTCTCTTTTGATGAACAAATGTTATCTTAATGGTAACATTTGGGGTATACCAAATGAAAAAAAAAAGAGTTTTATGTTGACTCAAGCCAAAACCGAACTGGGTAATTCAAATAAGCATCATTTTTTTCATATTACAGAGCCAATTTCTGTTAGTGTTGCAAAAGGAAAGTATAGCATCATAGGTGAATGGCATGCCAAGATAAGTTGTGATGGGACATATTTGATTACTCTAATTTAAATCTTTCCAGATGTGCAGGATTTGTGTTTATGGGTTTAGGGATCAAGAAATTGTCATGATATACAGGGAAACGTGACAAGAATAGATAATAGTGTTTATATATAATGCATCTTTTCCAAAACTGTGTTTAGTATACTTAGGGATTAGGAAAAAGGAGAATAAACATGTTTTAAATCACACTTAGATTCCATTCATTTTCAAATATTTCCCTTCAGTTTGAACCTGATCTTTTGTATTTGTATTTGTATTTGGTTTATTTGTATGCCGCCCTTCTCCAGGAGGGACTCAGGGCGGCGAACAACTCAGGGGGCAGAGGGAACATAAACAACAGTACACATAATTAAAATACACAAAAATCACACAGCCATACCAGTCGAGAGGGGAGGGGAACTCATCAACCCCAGGCCTGCCGGCACAGCCAGGTTTTGACGGCTTTCCGGAAAGCC